AACATTGGAAACGCGAAATTTGTCAGTAAATTTGACCTGTTGAAAGGCTACTGGCAAGTACCGTTAACAGAAAGAGCAAAAGAAATATCTGCTTTTGCTACACCAGATGGACTTTACCAGTATAAAGTAATGCCTTTTGGCATGAAAAACGCACCGGCTACATTCCAAAGGATGATTCACTCCCTTCTTCAAAACCTCGAGGGTTGCGAGGCCTACATTGATGATGTCATCATATACAGCAACACATGGGACGAACATATCCGAATCATGCGTGCTTTATTTGACATTTTAGCTAAAGCAAACTTAACTGTGAACCTTGAGAAGAGCGAATTTTGTCATGCTTATGTAGAGTATTTAGGTCATAAAGTAGGTCAAGGTTATGTTACACCCATAATGGCTAAAGTGGAAGCTATTGCAAAGTTCCCGATTCCTACAAACAAGAAAGAATTAATGAGGTTTTTGGGCATGGCTGGGTTTTACAGAAAATTTTGTCCAAATTTTTCCTCAGTAGTTAGTCCGCTTACAAATCTTTTGCAGAAGAGGGTTAACTTTGAATGGACAAAAGACTGTGAAAAATCCTTTCATAAAATCAAATCTGTCCTTATGAGCAACCCAGTTCTGTCAACTCCAGATTTTTCTAAGCAATTTAAGCTTACTGTTGACGCTAGTGATGTTGGAATCGGGGCAGCTTTGTTTCAAGAACATAGTGATAAGGTAGATAGAGTTGTTTCTTATTTTTCAAAGAAACTTACAAAATGTCAACAAAAGTATTCCACCATTGAAAAGGAATGCCTTGCTTTGTTGTTAGCCTTACAGCATTTTGATGTTTATCTGAATGTTACTTTGCATCCAATTCTTGTATATACGGATCACAACCCCCTGACATTTTTGCATAAATTGTCAAACAAGAATCAAAGACTGACTAGATGGAGTTTGTTGTTACAAGAATACAACATAACAATTAAACATATCAAAGGCAAAGACAATGTTATAGCAGATGCCTTGTCAAGAGTATCGTAAACATACTAGATTTTGTATTAATGTACCTAAGTTTTAATAATATAAGTTTTCATTGACATTCAAACTTTTTAAGGGGGGAGGTGTTGTGAGATGTGTATTGTTTCATCTTGTATATTATTAGTAACATTAAGTTTCTTGAGCATTCCAGAGTGGTCAATATGTTTGGTCATTTTTTCTAGAACATTCTTAAATTTTGTGTATGTCCAGATTGTTCCAGTAATATCATGTTTTAATAATTTCTAGAATATTCTAGATTTATGATACTATATATATATAAATACCCTGTCAATTCGATGCATGGACAATACTTTGTCGTGTAAGCACTATTGAGATATAAATGGGATATATTTTCACTGGGACATTGTGTGCAGCAACGGACACTCTGATGTATGTATTTTTAGATTCTTGCTAAGTTTGTACTTTATGTTTCATATACTTATTATATATTACTGTAAATAAATTATTGTTAAGTTTAAATTGTGTTATTGATCTTTGCTGGCATTTAGGGTTATTCTGACCCATAACAATATATTCCTATGTAAAAATTTTAACGGCCATTATAGCCCCGGGGGTCATGATTTGAACAAATTTGAATGTACACTACCTGAGGATGATTCCAAATGAGTTTCATCTTTCCTGTTCCTATGGATCTTGAGAAGAAGATTTTTAAAGATTTTTCCTATATATTCCTATGTAAAACTTTGATCGGCCATTTTGCCCCCCCCCTACCCCCGGGGGTCATGATTTGAACAAACTTGAATCTACACTACCTGAGGATGATTCCACATGAGGTTCATCTTTCCTGGGTCAGTGGTTCTTGAGAAGATTTTTTTAAAATGTCATTAATTTTTCTCTAATTCATAATTATCTCCTCTTGGAAAAGGGCGTGGCCCTTCAGTTGAACAAACTTGAATCCCCTTTACCCAAGGATACTTTGTAGCAAGTTTGGTTGAAATTGGCCTAGTGGTTCTTGAGAAGAAGATGTAAATGTGAAAAGTTTACAACGACAACAACAACAACGACGACGACAACGACACCAACAACGACAGACAAGGGACAAATTTTTATCAGAAAAGCTCACTTGAGCCTTCGGCTCAGGTGAGCTAAAAAGCTGACACAGTTTTATTTTAAACAATAATTTTTTCATATGAGAGGGTCTTCCATCCATTTTTTGAAAGATAATACTCAAAGAATGCTTAAAACTACAAATTTCGGTTAATAAAAATATGGAAAAGACACCAACAACAGTGTATACCTAGCTGCAGAACTGTAGCTCTCTCCTGAGAAAATTCGGACAGATAAAGCCGAGAGTCTCTGCTTAATCTGTCCGAACTTTCTCAAGCAGAGAGCTACAGTTCTGCAGCTAGTTCGAACCCCAAGAATAATCTCATTTATGCTAGTTTGATCATCGTCGCAAGCCACGGCACGGGTTTCGTGTCCATTCTATTCTGAATAGAAAGGACACAAAAGGATGCTAGTTTGATTAAAGCAGGGCTTATAAATACTAATCTGGAATATATAGGTCAGAGCCAGACGACCGTTTCACGCTTGAAAAATGTCAATCCTTATAATCAAAGAGACTGTAAAAAACTGTCTGCTAGATTGACACGCGTGAACAAGATTCTCAAAGGTCTAACACCCTTTTTGCTACGGTTTTCTCCTCAATATCATTTTTTCACCACGGATTTTAATACTTTTTAATTTTTACGCCCCCGTAAACGAAGTTTCGGGGGTATATAGTTTTTGTCGTGTCCGTCCGTCTCTCTGTCTTTCTGTTTGTCCGCAAAAACTTTAACCTTGCCCATAACTTTTGATTTAGTTGAGCTATGACTTTCATATTTCATATGTGTATATCTTGTGACAAGACCTTTCTTTGGGTACCACCAAATTTGACCTTTTGACCTTGGAGTTTGACCCACTTTTACATGAAAATTTTAAACTTTTACTTTGGCCATATCTTTTGAACAGTAGATACCAGGACATTTATACTTCACATATGTAATATTTGTTGAAAGACCTTTCATTGGATACCAACAATCTTGACCCTTTGACTTTGACCTTGTAGATTTCTGGCCATAACTTTTGAACGGTAAGATATAGGGCTTTCATACTTTATATATGTAATTCTTGTGAGAAGACCCTTCATTGGATATCAAGCACTTTTACCCTTTGACCTTGACCTTTGAGTTTGACCTACTTTAAAAAAGCAAACCTTGACCATAAATTTTAAAGGGTTAAGGCTAGTGCTCTCATACTTTACATATTTAATCCTTGTGACAAGACCTTTCATTTGCTAACAAGAAATTTGACCCTTTGACCTTGACCTTAGAGTTTGACCTACTTCAAAAAAAAAGTTAACATTGATCATAACTTCTGAACGGTTAGGGCTAAGGCTTCTATGCTCTACATAAGTATTCTATGTGGCAAGATCTTTCACTGGATACCAATTACCTTGACCCTTTGACCTTGACCTTTTGCACTGATTGAAAAAACTTTAACTTTGGCCTACTTTCAAATTTCACAATTGTTTTCCAGTGAGAATACCCTACTTTTGGTACCATTAAATTTGCATTTAAGAAAAGTTTAATCTTTGCTATGTTGCCATACGGGGGCATCAGTGTTTCACAAACACATCTTGTTCTCCGAAGGTTTAGAACCGGGTTTCAAAAGATAAAAGCTAAAAAAAATGCACTGTTAAAATAAATGATCAGGGTTGTCTTGTAAAATCGGTAAACTATGTCAATTTTCACTTCTACAGTGGATCCCCACCCGTAGTCCATCAGGTTTATCTGAACAATGTGAACAACACGCGTTCTATAGCGCGAACTTTCACAGATTTAATATTAAGGATCTTTATTCAAGTATTACACAAAAGAAACAGATACAATTAATTTTATGCATTTATGCCCCCACATAAAATCTTTTATAGTGAATAAAAAGTAACTATCGACGGATTTACTTAGCAGAACATTTTTTCAAAGATATGAAATGTTACCTCCTTAAAGTTTGATTTGATGCAAGTGTCATTGCGTTCCCAAAGGTAGATTCTGAAACAACCTCTCTAAGAGAACGTAGGAGGAGTTGCGTTTTCAAGGAATTTCACAGAAAGATATATAATTTACTGCATTGGTTTTCGATTCCGATGAACGATGTTGCTAATGTTACTAAAATTTCTTTTAAAACACTACTCCTTCTAAAGTTTTGGTCTGATTTCAATATAACTTGGCACACAAGTAGACAGATACATAATATACTGTATAGGGGGAAAATAACTCGCGGTGTTAATATTCGCTATATTCACGGTGATAATAAATCCGTGAATTCAAGAAACAGTGAATAAATTTTCAATAATCTCCAGGTTTTATTTGAAAATTTGAGAATAGACAACGATAGGGCTACATACATGTACGCGAAGTACATGGTCATTTCGGCCGGTAATTACGAGTAGTGCATCGGTTTTTACTTCGATGAACAGTGTTGAAATGGTCATTTAAGATAGAAATTAGTGTAGTCTACTTGTGTGCCAAATTATATTGAAATCAGACCAAAATTGTAGAAGGAGTAGAGTTTTAAAGGAATCTCACAGAAATTTCTATTTTTAGTAACCATGGCAACGCCATTCATCGAAATAAAAAAAACTGATGCACTAAGTTATGTATCTTAGTGTAGCCTGCTTGTGTGCCAAGTTATATGTACCGAGTATTAAAATCAGACCAAAACTGTAGGAAAAGTAGCATTTTGAAAAATTGATTACAGATAGACAGCTAGACGGATGGACACATTACTATTGCATAAGCTCTTCTGGTCTCTTACCATTAGTAGAGTTAAAAAGCACCAAATGATTTCCAAACCATTTCTTACATTCCAAATTGTTGAGCAAAATGACTTTTCCTCTCTGTATTGATAAATTTGGATTTTATTGACACTTTACATGTCATTTCACCGAAAGTTCATAATTAACAAACATCTTTTCAGGTAAATTACTAGTACAGGTATTTGAAACAGTCAAACCTCATTATCTCAAAAGGACCTGTAAAGAGGTTGTTTTATTTTCTGTATATATTATTTAAATTTTGTTCAAACGGGGTTCCATACTTCTGAGACTGTTTGGTCACTTGTATATAAGGGGACCGGTTTTGTTCTTTGTGGAGAGCTAGTCTGGTGTCTGGTAGTGTGACCAGCCGCATTTGCAGTTTCCCCGGCATGACATATACAAATGGCGAATATTTTCGGTGAGATATAGCACCGAATGTTAACGGGTAGCCATATAATTTGCCAGGAGGATTATTGCAGCGTGTTTTTGCAGTTCTAGCCGGTAAGAGTGTTCGAGTAATGTTTATAGTTGGTTTGCAGTTATAATTTTCCGGTTTTAGTTGTATTTTAGGTTAGGTTTTTGTAAATATAAATTAATTTCAGTGCGTAAGAGGCTTGGAGACGAGTCATTGGTCTATGGGCGTACTGAGGGTCGGTTGACGAGGTTTGAGGCTTATTGACAAGTGCTATAGGGAGAGCCACGTGCGTCATATCCAATGTCGACACTGTTAAGGGCGTGGTAGGATAACCGGAGCGAGAGGCTAAGACCCGGGGCTCTGCGAGTTAGGAACTACTATTGGTGGACCACGGAACTTGGTGTGACGTAGACGTACTTGTATGGCGAGAGCGCATTGGTGCATTTTTAGGACACGTGTCGCTGACCTCAGTTTGTGAATTTTGTGAACTTTGAGTAACTTTCAGTAGCAAATATCAAAAAAAAGTTTAAGTTTTGAATATATATTTTATCCTTTTAGAAGTCAATTGAGCTTTTTCTAAATATCAATTTTTAAAGACAAAATTCGGTGAATTATTATTTGATTTACGATTTGATACTAATTGAATCAACATTGTTGCGTGTACAATATTTAACGTTATTATGTAACGTATCAGATTTGGTAAATACTGAGTTAACAGTTCATATCTATTTCATTTCCGGTGTGTGAGCTGCTGGGTGAGAGTGAAAGAGTGTTATTGAATATAATTTTTTTTTTTATTTGTGTTAATAAACTTATTTGTTATTTCTGTTTGATATTGTTTTCCTTCTCAACCCTGCAAAATCTAAAAAGAACTCATGACAGGACCAAACTCAAAAATCATTTCAAGTTTACTTTTTATTCAGAAAAAGATTTCATCCAAAATAGATAAGTCCGGTTTATTAGGGGGCTCCGTTTTTTTAAGTTTAGGTGAACCTCTGTCAGTATCTCTGTCATTTGATTCAGTCCCCCGTTTTCCTCTGACTTGTGATTTTACGGTCTCTGTTCGTGCTGCATTAGAGTGTTTTTGTTTTACTGTCTCTGTACTTGTTGTGTTAGTGTTTTTAGCTCGATTTACAGTCTCTCTGTGTGCCGTGTTTGAGGCTTTAGCCTGATCTTGATTTGATTTCAAGTGAGTTCTTGTAAACTCCAGAGATGGACCTGGTTCCTGAGATTCTGGAAAAACACCTCTAGAACCACTCTTCTTATAAGACTTTGTTTCTGTCAACTCTTTGTCAGTTTTAAAGGAATGTATGGATTCAAATCCAGTTGAATCACCTATCTTTAGTTCCATTGATTTGGGTTGAGGTAATTTCTCATCTGGAAAATCCAGAACTTTTTGTGCAGTGATTCTGTCTTCACTAGCATCAGGTAAAACTCGAGCTTTTTGTTTGCTGGATTCACATTCTTCATTTTTTGGCTGAAATCTACAAGTTAAGGAAAAAGACATACTTTGAAATCTCTAATTTTCATGGGGCGTTGCAACCACTATTGAAATAATTATATCAATAGTGGTTGAGGGTGCATTTCAATAACAAACATAGGTAATAACCACTATTGAAATACGCCCACTATTGAAATAATTATTTCAATAGTGGGTGAGATTCATTTCAATAACAAACATAGATTGCAACCACTATTGAAATGATGTTCACTTTTGAAATAAAGATTTCAATATGGATTAAATTATTGATTTCAATAGTGCATTGAACAATGGATCCAATATTTATTGAAATAATTATTTCAAAAGTTGCTGACGCTGTGAAACTTTTCTTCCAATATGGTAGTATTTCAATAGTGGTTGAAACCTATAGTTACCATATTGAAATGCATTCTCACCCACTATTAAATTATCATTTCAGTAGTGCTCGTATTTCAATAGTGGTTGAAACCTATGCTTATTATATTGAAATGCACTCTCAACCACTATTGAAATAATTATTTCAATGGTGGTCGTATTTCAATAGTGGTTTTTACCTATGTTTGTTATTGAAATGCATTCTCAACCACTATTGATATAATTATTTCAATAGTGGTCGTATTTCAATAGTGGTTACTAACTATGTTTGCTGTTGAAATGCACTTTCAACCACTAGTGATATAATTATTTCATTAGTGGTCATTATTTCAATAGTGGTTGCTACAATGGGGGTTTCATTTTCATTATTTTCAAGGTATAACTAGACCCTCGAATGTATGTCCACCATGAAATGCAATTTTTCACATATATTACTAATGAACAATTCTTCAACCATGAAATCAAATCCCCATGAATCAATATATTTTCCTCAAACCCCGAAAATTTGACCCATCAAAAATATGTGATTTTACAGTATAAAGGTTAAACAATTTATAAAACTGATAGTAAGGTAACATTTGAGAAGATGTTTTTCCTGTTAACCTTTTCCTGGTTTTGCGGGGACTTGCTTTCCTGACTCCCGTCTCAGCCATTAGATCGTTCAGTACAGCACACTTCCTGTCGGCCGTCTGTCTGTCTGTTCCCAGCTTATCACTGTTTATCCCCTCCACAGTATCAATTACACCCACTTCTGTTGATTTCCCTCTGGAGTTATGACTGTTTGGTGTCATTCTTGATTTCTCCCCAGAGTTATGACTATTTAATGACATTTTTGATTTTTCCTTCTGATTCATTTCAGTCTTCTTGGATAAAACATCATTAACAGAATTCTCATCAGCTTCCCTCAACACATCTGTTCTGCCTGCCTGTATATAGTAAAAAAAAAATCCTATACATGTAGCTAGTTTTAATACTGTAAACGTACTTTTTTCCACGGGGTCATAATTCCGCGGAATCTCAATTTCTGTTTAATCCACGGGTAGAAAATTACGCTGATTTCTTAGAATGTCACTATATGCCTTACATTTATATTAAGTACGCTTGGACAAATTTCCACGGAAAATTTGTTACCGTGTACATAGTGTTAATAAATACCATGCGGAAAAATGTACTTCTACAGTATCACATATTTTCCAAGTTGGTCACCATTTTGGAGGTCAAAATGGTGAACTTTCCTCTATAAAAACAGTTGTAAACAAGTCTAGCATGTATAAAACAAATCTTTACAATGTTAGACTTATCAATTAAAGGATATTTCAACAAATATATATTCATAAAATATTGTTAATTACACCTCAATGCCTGGAATGACAAGTATATAGTGGTTGAAAAATGGAAAAATATTGGCATGTTGACATCCAATTTGGCAGCTAACAAAAAGTAACTCATCCTAAATTCACATAAGTCACAAATTATCAATATTTATAGCAAGGGTTTCATTTGTGTCAAGAGTTCAGTGTCATAAATATACCTGCTTTAAAACATCTTTAGCAATTTCTAACAGCTCCTCTTCTGTCATTATATATATTGTTTGTCTGGAATTCCAAAAAATACAATCAACAACATAAAATGATATGTTTCCCTTCTGATTTTTTATCTCTGGAGTCTGATTACTGTGCATACTGACTCATGTAGACAACAAATTTTATTAAATATGGTATCTACTGATGGTGGATTCTATATAAATGACCTGACATGCAAGCTCTCGCTCTGTATATCTTCATTCATACATGTAAATTACTTGAACTTTAAACATAGGTAATCAAAGATTACAAAGCTTACCTCGGTGAATGTTATCAGTATAAGTAGTGCAACTCTCAAATAAAATTTTCTTTATGGTTAGTGTGTATCTTGACAACAATTTTCATGCAAGTTCTGTTAAAATGGGTCTTATAGTTCAATGGGAATGGACCTGCTCCAAAAACTTTACCCTGGTCACTCATTTGGAAAATGTAGGTCAGATCCAGCATCCAAAGCAAGTCTGGTAGTGTCCATCCCTAGATGCATCATCCATGCAAGTTTGATCCAGGTAGGGCTTATAGTTACTCAGGAATGGACCTGCTTCTAAAACTTTAACCAGGACGCTGACGCTTACGCCAACACTGACGCCAGAGGTATAGCATAAGCTCATCTTGACTTCGTAGAGGTGAAGTAATAAAATTGAACTAAATGATTATCTGGATTCTTTGTTCAGCCAGCACACCTAGTACCCTTACCTCCCTTGCCCCTCCATTGAACTCGAACTCTCATTCCGCTGTAGAATAGTTTTGGTGTGTAGGGTCCTTTTCCCTGGGGGTGTTTCTTTTCCCAACATCCAGGAGGGCAGTTTTCTGGATGATTCATTCAGTGAGGTATTCAGTGAAGTGTTACATTCTGGGTCTTTCTCCTCGTCTTGTGTGTAGACACTCTCTGGTTGTTTAAGTCTCAATACACAGCTCTGGTACAGCTCTTGATAACTTCAAATTTACAAAAGTCAGGTACTAAACTATATTCATAAACATTTCTGTTTTAATCTTCTTATGTAACTTTTAAAGAAAGTAACTTTAATATTTTACCCCATGATAGTGTTGAAATCTTTGGCTAAGATAAACTCCTGCCTCCCATATGGGAGTTCACACTTGATGTGGCTGTCCTGGAAATTCTCCTCCTCTGTAACACAGGGAAGGTTAGGTCTCTCCAGTGTTTCCTTGTCCTTAGGTAAAATCTCCATTGTCCTGAGGTATTCTGGGATGGTGGACCGAGTAATCACGTGACTACCAATAACCTAAAATAATTCTTATGGTGAACTCAATCAAAATCATTCAACTATAAAGTTAAGATATGGGAGAAGTGCTATACCACAAGTATTGTAAATATCTACTATGTATATTTTTTGTCACTCACCAGAGCTGGATTCTGTAGAAGTTGTGTTATCTACAAAGAAAAAACACAAGGCTAAAATGTTAAAATCCATGAGATTTGTATCATTTCCCATTTTTCATAAATATCATCTAGTGGTAATTGTCTTTAAATTCATATATGATCCTAGTCTACAATATGCAATATAAAATATGGAAATGCAGAATATGCTTAATAGCTAAAATAGTTTTCATTGCAATTCCAATGCTGATCTGAAATGATTCTGCTATTAGCTGAATGTTTACTTCAAGAGTGAATCTAAAGTGCTTACATAATGTTCACTTTAAGTAAATCTACTTAACACTTTAAATAGCTGTAATATTTACTTCCTGAGTACACTGACCTTGACACAATTCACACCAGCAGTCCTAGCCAAGGTCATGTGATCCTGGTGGCTATATATATAAACTGTTTTCTAGAAAAATTAAAATGAAATCAAGAAAACGTATGCAAAAGTGTTCAAAATTTAAAGCAGAATTTAAGGACTTTTAATGTGTGTAAAAAATAGTTGTACACATTTCGATGGACCCTATCAATTATACACATAGACTTACTTACAGTGCTGTGTAGAAATAAATGGTGTCTCTTTTGTAAGAAAGCCAGAATTCCTGGATTAGGCGGTTCACAGAAGGTCCCTGCTTCGGTTGGATCAACAACATGGAACAGATAAATGGGAAAATCCAGCTACAATATAAAAACTTCCCTACATGTCATAAATGGTTACAATTTTCAGATCACTGTAAGTATTCAATTAAGCCTTCCTTTGGTAGAAGAATAGACTTCAGAAATTCTCAAAATAATTCAGTAGCAACTCATTTCAATGACCTTATTCTTTTTCTTCTTCATTGAATTGAATATTCAACTTTTTCAAAGTTGTTTGGTTCATGCGCAAAGTCAATTCAAAGAAGTGCAGACATAAAATACATGCATGTATACAGTTAAAGATACAATTTGTACTATTTATTTTCAACTAATTAGCATTAAGGAAAACAGCCAAAATAGAGCAAAGGACAGCTCAAACAGAATGTAATGTGCAAAGGAACAACTCTAAGAAATGCATAGATTTTAAAAGAAAAGAATTTTTGTTCTAACCTGTTTTGCTAACCTTGTCAGCATATGTAGACCTTCTTCTATAGGTTCCTTGTTACCTTAAAGTAATACACTGAACTTAAAATTTGAAATTTGTACTACAGATTTATACAGTTACATTTTTTGCGTATTAAATATTTCTGCAAGAAAGTATACATAAGTATTTGTTTTTGATAATCAAAAAAGTTAGCAACATGCTTATTGTATTTGTCATTATCAAATTTCTTGCTAACCTAAACAAAGGTTAACCTACCATACAGAATGAAGATGACCCTTCCTACAGGATTCTGTTCGTTCCAGTGGACACAGATCTGTTTGACCCCGTCCTTCAGATTCAGCGAGTCATCAGATTTGTGATATATGGCCTCCATCTGTATGAACAGACCTGGGATATCAAACTGAAATAAGGGAGATAATTTAACAATACAAAGTATTGATTTCTGTTCATCAGTACTCCACTGTCTTTGAACATTTTTCTATGGAAAAATGTCTTGTACCCTATAGTGAAAATTACAATGATTACCTCACAATTTATGCCTTTATACAATATACATGTATATTGTTAATTTTCCCTATGTCAACAAACATTTTTCTTTAGTTTTTATAGAGGTTCCTTGAGCGGGTGGGTATCAGTACCACTACATTTTTGAAATTTTCATTACCGCTACAAAAAACCTTACATTACCGCTACATATAAAAGTATACATTACCGCTACAATGCCTCTTTCGTTTGCCATCAACTTATGCGTGTACAGATTGATTTAAAGTACAACATATACAAGTATAAGTCCTGTTTCCCCCTGCTCACCACGGGGAGGTGAAAGTAGGACTTTTTCATTTGAAATTTATTCTACTTCATAAAACACTTTTAAAATTTTTAAAATTAAATCAAGCACTGTCCATAGATAAAACTCACATGCAGTCTTCACATTCTTCTGTTTAGAATTCAAATCTAAATTGTACTTCTCTACATATGGAGTAAATTCTGTTGATTGGAACTAATATTCCGTACCATACCTGGCTAGTTCAATATGTAGCGGTAATGAATTGTTTTCGGCTGATTCAATATGTAGTGGTAATGAGTTTTTTTTGTTCAAGAAAATGTAGCGGTAATGATCGGTCGAAAATTTGAATAATGTAGCGGTAATTAGTTGAAATTATTGGCGATGTAGCGATAATCATGATAATGTTGACCTCCCCATTAAGCTTGGCCTATAAATTTCTGGATACCTTGTATGCAGAAAAGGTTTCCAGATGTGACTGTTGATGAAATACTTTATACCCCTCCTCTTCATCCGGTTTGTCATCTAAAAAATAATTAAATTGTAATGAGAAAACAATGTGTAGATGTAAAGTATCCTATTGACTTTTCTGAGAGTGTTTCACAGCTTACAATGGACCAAAACTTTATTTTGCCACTTTATACAACAAACTGAAAAATGAAATTAAATGGTTTTATTTTTATGTGATGTATTTTAAATAATAATTATAAGACTATGGTCACCCTGTTCACACATTCCTGAACATAGTTGTGTAAATTGCTCAGTTGAACAGTCGCAAGGCTTTGTTATTGTGTTAAAGTTTGTTTCAAGATGGCTTCATGATATGTAAGAATACATGAAATATTTGTGTTTCATTTTCTGAATTTCCATGATTTCTGTTACAAATAATTTTACTCACTCATTCACTATGAATCCATTAAAATGTTAAAAAAAAATTTAATTTTTTATGATTACCAAAAAAACCCTTAAAATTTAACATCTTACATCGGCTTATTGTCTAATAGATTTGTGTGTGCTTAGGACATGCAAATATTAACAAACAAATAAGGCACTTGCTTGAATTGTAAGCCACTTGGCCGGTTGTCGGATCGAACCAGGAGGAAATCTCTGTGTAGCTCACTGTCACTGCCTCCTCCTCATTTAGACAGACTTCCTGGTTCCACAACACCTGGGCCTCACCATATTTTGGGAATACACTCACAAGAGCTACAGTCTTCTCGGGTAGCTGAAAAATTCAGAAATGCCAGTAACCTTTCCCTAGAATGGCTTGATGAATCTTGAATTATATCTTTTCTGTGATTGAGTCATTGCAGTATCAAAGTGAATAGAATACTTATTGGAAGTTAATTCAAATTGCTACTTTAAATTGTTTACTTTGCTCAATGTTGATAAACAAGTAAACAGGTGCTACATGAATACTCAATTCTTATTACCTTTTTCTGAATCATCTTGAGGTATGCAGATCTTTTTGCTAAGCTACCATTTTCATCATCTACAACTACTTTCTTGTTCTAAAATCAGAATCATTAAAATTATAAAGAGGGGTTATCCGATTATCCCGCTTTAGACAAATTTGTAGATTACTGATTGGACAAAAGCTAATCACATGACGCCCTGAAATTTTCCGTATTACGTTGCCGTCAAGGAGTAATAAGAAAATCGGGCATGCGATTCCGTTTGAAGTGTTGTTATTGTAAATAAAAATGGTGGCTTAGAAGCGGTTTGCATAGGTAGTAGTTAAGTTAAATTTCTTTTTACGATATTTTATGTTGATTGTTATCAGATTAAAACTTGCTATTTTCATAATATGCACATAATTTTTTTAAATATTTGAAAAGGTCTTCAGCAGGATAAATTCGTAACATAGTCAGTTAGTGACCTAATACGGAGTCATACAGGGTATAAGGATTTCCATTTCACACCCTGTATGACTTCGTATTAGCTAGGTCACTTACTGACTGTGTAACTAATAATATTCAATAGAAATGAGAATAATATATAATTCATAAACAGCATTATAAATGTATGATCAGGGTAGGTTCACTATCTTAGTAGTTCACTGATTGTTCACAAGTACAGCTGCAAAATGCAGTTATTTTAATAACAAGAGGCCCAGGGGCCACATTGCTCACCTGAGCAATTTGTTAGGAAAAAGCACATATCAGATCCGAACTGAAAGTTTACTGAGTTTGGGGGGGGGGGGGGGGGGGGGGGGGGCTTGAATTTTAACCTCCTAGGGGGTCATGGTTTGAACAAACATGAATCTACACTACCTGGGGATGATTCCATATAAATATCACTAAGCATGGATTTGAAGTTCTTGAAAAGAGGATTTTAAAAGGTTTCCCTATATATTCCTATGTAAAATTTTTATCTGCCATTTTGGACCCACCCTACCCCCGGGGGTCATGATTTGAACAAACTTGAATCTACACTACCTAGTGATGATTCCACATGAGTTTCATCTTTCCTGGCCCAGTGGTTCTTGAGAAGAAGATTTTTAAAGATTTTTCCTATATATTCCTATGTAAAACTTTGATCGGCCATTTTGGCCCCACCCTACCCCCGGGGTCATGATTTGAACAAACTTGAATCTACACTACCTGGTGATGATTCCACATGAGTTTCAGGGAAGTTTCTAGTATGCTGGTCCCCAGAATCACGCGATTGCGCATGAGCAGTTATTTCCCTTGCCGTTGCTATGCAGAATGTAAACAAACCGCAATTTCCCACTCGCTTCAAGAAAACGCATCCGATCGAGTGATTAGGGTTAGGTTATATAGTTTTTAAAATTTTGGTTGTTTTATAAATCAACTCTGTAATCTTTCTGACTTTGGGCTTATTTATGTAATTTTTGCTTACAAAAGGCACTACTTTGAGTGCCTTTTGTGACCAAAAACTTGCATGAATCAGCCTGTCGAATCGTGCCGATATCTTACACTTTGGTTTAGTTCATGAAATTTTTGCTTTACAAAGAACAGGATTCCAAGTTTTATAAATGAAAGTTCGGGTAAATCAACTCAAATGTCGAAACATGACGATTTTCAGTGCTGAGTTTAGGCAAGTTATTGTAAAAGCGACTTACCGTTAACTGCAGGCAGTGCAGCTCGATATCCTGACCTCCTAATGTCCAAATATTCAGAATATTTTTCCTTTCAAATCGATGATGATGCACAATTCAATCCATCGATGACTAGTAATTAGCTAACATTTGTTAAATCCCTGTATTTCTCACAAAAATCTCGCAATTTTAATATCATTGCACTTTGAGTCTTATCGGGCATTTCTTCATTACGTCAAAACACAAGTGACGCATTTCATGAATATTTATGAGATTACGTCAAAAATTGATCATGTGACCACATTCCTAAACAACGCAAGATGGAGTTTTACTTCCTAAACAAGTACGTTATTTTACGAAATCTTTTAATTCTCATTTAAAAAACTGTGTTTAAAAACCAGTTTTTTAAACCCAATTTTTCACAAGGAACACGAATTTGGAGTCAAATTTGCAATTTGTGGCTTCTTTTTCGATTTTGTCGATCGCTCACGCGATCCTCTATATATTGTAAACCGCCTTCGGCGGCACCTATTTTAGCGCCATATTTATGGGGACCGGTATACTAGAAGTGTTCCTGAGTTTCATCTTTCCTGACCCAGTGGTTCTTGAGAAGAAGATTTTTAAAGATTTTTCCTATATATTCCTATGTAAAACTTTGATCAGCCATTTTGGCCCCACCCTACCCCTGGGGGTCATGATTTGAACAAACTTGAATCTACACTACCTGGTGATGATTCCACATGAGTTTCATCTTTCCTGACCCAGTGGTTCTTGAGAAGAAGATTTTTAAAGATTTTTCCTATGTATTCCTATGTAAAACTTTGATCGGCCATTTTGGCCCCACCCTACCCACGGGGGTCATGATTTGAACAAGTTTGAATCTACACTACCTGGTGATGATTCCACATGAGTTTCATCTTTCCTGGCCCAGTGGTTCTTGAGAAGAAGATTTTTTAAAAATGCCATTAATTTTTCTCTAATTCATAATTATCTCCCCTTGAAAAAGGGCGTGGCCCATCATTTGAACAAACCTGAATCCCCTTCACCTAAGGATACTTTATGGCAAGTTTGGTTGAAATTGGCCCAGTAGTTCTTGAGAAGAAGATGAAGATGTGGAAAGTTTACAACAACAACGACGACGACAATGACGACTACAACAACAACGACAGACAACGGACAAATTGTGATCAGAAAAGCTCACTTGAGCCTTTGGCTCAGGTGAGCTAAAAAGCAATTTGAAAGTATGTACAATGAATAGGTAGACTAGACTATATCGAATAAATTGTTTGTAAATGTTACCTGTTTCAAGTGTTTATGCACATTTAGTACAATATCTCTTAGTCCATATTTCTGGTTTAATGAAAACAAATGCTTGGGGAAAATCCTAACATGGTCCTTGCTGAGAAATTTCTGGTAGTATACATCACTCCCCTATTAAATAAATAATATTATGCTCATCATGCTCATTACTTGTATTTTTCGTTTTACTAAGTTTACGTGTATTTATACTTTTACTAACATATCTTACACAGATCTGGTACAATCTCTTGCATTAGCTAAATTAGGTACCAGTATACAGAAAAGGTTGATTTGACTGTGTATTTTATCACTTTTTTTAATGTGTTTTAAGCATATTTTGGAAACTAAATAATGATGTAGAGATAGTCTTTAATTTTCAACTCTTTTAAAATCAATGCATGAAAAATCTACCCAAGTTGTATCTCCACAACTGGGACAAGAGACTTTTTCCTCAAAGTTCCATATTAAACAGGTTGGGACCAATCGCCCAAATGGGATATAATAGTCCGTTTGGGATATAATATCCCAAATGGGCTATAAATTTACAGTGCAAAAATTGAAAATTTCTATTTTGGCTATAAATATCATAAATCCACATCAAAACACTTTAAAAGGAATAGCTTTTGGTAAGCAAGTTTTTCTGCAACCCTACCGTTTGTTAGATTGATCCCCAAGAAGTTAAGCAACTTCCGAGGGATCGATCTCCTAAACAAATGACATACAGGAAAACTTGGCAACCAAAAGTTATTCCTTTTTTAAGTGTCCTGATGCGGATTTATGATATTTATAGTCAAAATAAAAATTTTCAAATTTTGCACTGTAAATTTATAGCCCATTTGGCATACTATATCCCAAACGGACTATTATATCCCATTTGGGCGATTGGTCCCAACCTGTTAAAGTTTGGGGCTAAAAAGTCTACATAAAGCAATTGATTTGTGACCACAGAGTTACCTCTTAAATTAAATTATGAAAAAGACAAGAAGGTCAGTTATGGTCTACAAGATAATCGATTGGTAGCAAGGAAGTGCAATCATACTTATCCAATGCAGACAAGGTAGTCACCGTACTGTGCAGTTACAGAGATAAAAAAAAAAAGATGCAAATAATTGCTCTTAATCTGTGTTATTTAGTCATAGTATATATATAAGAATTTCAAAGCCTTACATTGCAATAAATATGGCAAACTAGAAAACTGACCAGTCAGCAAGGGCCCCGCTGAGGGGTAGAAATATAAGGTGCACTCATGGAAGGAGGATTTTACTTGATTACATTTTTAAAAAATATATGAAGAATATAAGCAACAACAGTATTTTTAAAATTTCAAAATAATTCCTGAATGTCCAAAAACCTGTAAATAGTAACCTTGTATTTACATAAAACAG